GTTGGATGGTGGCAGGAAGGGTTTCTGTTTTTTATGTATTTCTGTATTATTTAATTTTCCAATTAAATGTTTTATTACCTGTGAGATTTATTTAAATTTGAATAAAGTGGTGATATCTTTCTATGACAAAGAACTTAGAAAGTAAAGTCTTTCCTGATTCTGTCCTGATTCTCCTCTGCTTGTCCTTACTGCTGATTATTAGCATGTATTTTTTTCCTTTCAGCCTACATAAGTGTTAACCACTCTGTTTATAATTTCTGGAAATTAAATGAAGTTGGGAGATTAAATTGAATGCATTAAGAGCTGTTTTTCCACCGTGTTCTTCCAACAATTCGGTCAGACTAGAGCTCCAGCTCGCAGGCTCAGGGATAGTGAATACTCTCATTGCCCATGCAACTCAAGAGCATCAGATTCAAAACTGAAAACCACAACATGGAACAATGTTGAGAGAGACTCAAGCGGGCTCTGGAATCGTACTGTTTACTCCACATGCCTAGCCATCTGTAAGCATCATGTTACAGTAAAATTGCCTTTGTAATTTCACATGTGCCACAGGACCTACACGTAGCCTTAGTCCCACCTTCACAGTGTCCCTTTACCAGGTCTTCAAGGTTTAACTGTTTGTATTTACGTTCCTAACACACAAGAAAAAAAGGATACTTCCTGCCTGTTCTTGCATGTGTGGGATGTGCAGAAACATAGGCCCACACCCACTTGTCTTTTGCTAGAGAGCAGAATTTTTATTTAATTCTGAACGATGAGCCGTGACATAATTAAGTACCTCCTCCTGGTGAAGGACACTGCCTTGATTCCACCTCCTTCTCACCCCTGCTAATGGCCTTTCTCCCTCTGGCCTCTTAGATGCCTCAGCGTCTCTGGCTGTAAATAATTAATGGGGTCTGTCAGTGTGTGTTGGGAAGCGATGCTGCCTTACTCACATGTATAAGCATTTACACACTGAGCCTTATCCTGATCCCTCCTTCCAAAAATAGCCGTCACTTCTCTAAAACAACCCAAACCCTCAAATCTTCCCTTTAAACTGCGCAATGTCATTTCAGGAGTGGTGCCGGTTGTGTGTGACGATGATCCATTTTCAAGGATTTGTAGAACAGTTGCCCTGGGAATGGTGCATGTTGCGGCTTGGGATGAGTTGTAAAAGCCCTGGATGATACAAAAGGGCTTTTTCTCTGTACGCAGCTCGTCTGTGCCTTCCTACATAACTGGGGTTTTCTGTGTTGGTGGTGGAACGCACTCTATGCCTTATCGTGGGCCCTGCATGTAGGGTTTACTGTTATGACTCACATTTTTTCCTGACGTGGTATCGTGAACATTTTCAAACTTGAAAAAAATTAATCCAGCCTACACCCCTATGCCCGTCCCCTAAAATATACCCTAAATCTGGTCTAAAATTGCCCTGTCACATTTCTCTCCATTCCATTTTTAGTGCATTTCAACCTATCCTGTAAATATCTGGACTCCTTCCCCTTAAACACCTCAGCATACCTGTTATTGACTAAGGTTTGATATTGTCTGTAGTTGCTTTTTAGTTAAAGGGTACAGCAAGTGAAAATGCACAGATCTTAAGTGGACTTTCGATAAGTTTTGTCAAGTACAGCACCTGTGTAGTGCAAACCCCAACAAGATCCAGAACCATGGACCCAAACAATGCCCTTTCTCTGATCAACTTCACTGTTTGCCCTGTCCCCAAGAAACATTCTTCTGATGTTGGGTGTTTTTTTTTAACGCAAAGTAGAACAACTTATAAACGGCATCATTTTGTGCATGGTTTCTTTCACTCAGCATTATGTTTTTGAGATGCGTATCAGTCATTTTATGGATCGATAGTTCATTGCTTCTTATCGTTCAGTAGTCATTACTAGACCACATTTTGTTCAGTCCATTCTCCTTTGGGTGGGCAATGGGCCTGTTTATAGCTTGGACATATTGTGACTACAGCTGCTACATGAACACTTCGATAACTTTTTTGGACATGTTTGTCTTGGTAAGTATCTAAGGATGGAATTGTGAATCCTAGGACCAGTGCATGTTTAGTTTTATAAGAACCATCAGAGTGCTTTCCAAAGTTACGATGGCATGTTACTCTTTAATCAATAATTTATGGGCATTGTGGTCTCTCCATATCTTCACTAAGTACTGTCAGTCTTTAAAAATAAAACTGAGTTGCTCTGTTGGGAGTATCATGGTGTCTAGTTGTGGTTTTAATTTGAATTTCCTTAATGACTAATGATATTGAGCTCTTTGAATATCTTCCACTGTTCAAACCTTGACCCATTTCTCATAGAGTTGGCTTTTTATTATTGAGTTACAGGGATTCTTGTATTCTAAGTACCATACCTTTTCAGATATGTTTTGCAAATATTTTATTCCAGCTTACAAATTGCCTCTTCATTAATGAGTGGGGTTTTCTTATGAGTAAGTTTTAAAATTTTTGATGAAGTTTAAATTAGCCTTTTCCCTTTCATGGTTGTTATCTTTTACGGCCCCTTGAACTAGTCTACTTTTTGTCACTAACAAAATAGCCAACAGGATAGTTATAAAGAAAAAGAAGTTTATTTAGTTAGCGCTCAGCTTTGGTGGCCCAAGGGTGTGGCATCTGTGTGTCTCCTCAGTTCTCATGAGGACCTTGTGGTGAATGGCAATGCTGAGGTACATTTGAGGACAGACAGAAGAGGCAAGAGCTGAGAGAGGAAGGAAAGGGGCCAGGAGTGCCCCTTTAACAACGCTTAAGTGCGAACTACCAAAGGATCACAGAAGATGCTACCTCATACTTTTGGTGACCTGAGGGCCTTGAAGGCCTCACCCCTGAAGATTCCGCCACTTTTTCCAATAGTTCCACCCTAGGGACCAAGGCTTTCATCAAGGGGGATCCTTGGGCAACACAAACCACACGCATCTAAGGAACCTTTGCTTCTTTTCAGATTATGAAAATAGTCACCTGTGTGTTTTTCTGGGAGCTTTCTTCTTTTAGCCTTTATATTTAAGTCCATGATCCATCTCAAATGAATTTTGTGTATTCTGAGAAGTAGGGAACAATAATCTTTTTTTATTCATTGAGGATGTCCAATAATCAGCACTATTTGTTGAAGAGACTTTGATTTTTCCCTATGCATTGCTTTGGCACCCTTGTCAAAAATCAGTAAGATATATAAGTATAAGGCATTTCTCAACTTTTTATTCTATCCCATGGGAACTCTTTGGCTATACTAATACCACTGTCTCAGTTACCATACTTTTCAGTAAGTCTTGAAATCAGGTAGTATGCGTTCTCTAACAAGATTGCTTTGGATATTTGAGCTTCTTCAAATTTCCATATAAGTTTAAGAATCACACTGTCAATTTCTGCCCACCCAAAAAGCATACTAGAATTGTAGTTGAAATTAAATTGAATCTGTTGATAAAGATCAGGACAAATTGACATCTTAACTGTATTGATTCTTCTCATCCATAAACATGGGATTTCTTCCCATTATATAGCCCTGCTTAATTTTTCTCAGCAGAATTCTAGAGATTTTTGTGTACGAATCCTGCCTGTCTTTTGTTAAATTAATTTCTCAGAATGTAATTTTATGCTATTATAAATAGTATTTTAATGTTAGCTATTACTACATGATTCATTTTTGTGATGTGTATGTTTGGAAGCCAAATGTATTCAGAATTCATTTACACTTAAAAAATATTCAAAAGCCTGTTCCTTCACAGAGGTAGCAATGAGAAGAGCAGATCATCCCCACCCTGAGAAAGCAGTCATCTGTCCCAGTTTGCCTCTTATTGGCTGTGTGAACCTGGCCAGGAACAAAAGAATTCTCTTCCTATTTCTTCTATCGCTCAACACAATCAGAATTTAACTCATTTATGACAGTCATTTGTATAATACCTAGAGATATAAAGCTTGTAACTCTGGTTTACTGTCCCTTTTGGATATCTGGTAGAAAACCCTGGAATTTTCTCCCCAGAGAGAAAATTACATAAACACGCACACATACACACACACATACAACTTAGTTTTGTACAACTTAGGGATGTTCAGGGAATTTTTGAAGCCTCTTTGTCAGCCGTTGGGACCCACAGATTCTCAATTATGAACCTCTGTTCTGGAGAGATTTGGATGGGGACACATCTCCTTTACCTCTGTTTCTTCAGTACTCAGGGCAGTAATCGGCTATGTCCCAACATTTATAGAATGAATGGCCCAGCAGTGCTGTGTAGAATGGCCTCATAGTGCTCAGCCTTCCACAACACTTGCCTCTCCTCCCGAGAAGCACCAGGCATGCATTTTACCTGGAGAAGCCCCACGCCTTTTCCATCTAGTACGGGCAAGTGTGTACTATTAGAGAACAGGGCTGCATCCACAGCCAAGCCACAGTCCAGATAGCCAGAAGGGCAGTCAGGAGGCATCTGAGGGACAGCCTGGGCTAGTCATGCCCGTGGTCCAAGCATGCTCAGGACCCTGAGTGCTGGGCATTGCCCAACATTTTAGTGTGGCACATCTGTGCAGGGATAGGTGCAGAGTGAGGGCTGCAGATCCTAAATCCTGTGCCCTTTGTGGGGTTTTCTGGGCAGGGAAAGTGTATGGATTTCCATTTCTTCAAGGATTACTCTACCCTCCAAGGGACACAGCAGTTGGGCTGTTTGACAGGGGCCACCTGCTCTCCCCTGAAGCCCTAGACCCTCCACCTTCCTCTGTGAAGTCAGCCCAGCCGCTTCCCACCAGACAGCTGCCCTCATGCCTTGGCACAGCTCCAAGTGGCAGCTGTTTTGCTGCAAAACTCTGAGCTGTGTGCACCTGCCTGCTGCCTGTGCAGATATCCTGGCCCTGGGAATTCTCTTCCCACAAGGCTGCAGGTCCCCAGGCCATTTTTTCTGTTCCTACAGCACCCGGAATTGTCATGGACAGGGCATCCCTGTGTTGTCATATCTGATGATTCCTATGCCACACTGGCTGTGATGGTGACGCTGTATGTGTGCTTCTTCCCACGCAGGTACCAGGGACATGGGCAGCAAGCTGTCCACGCCAGGTGGGGACTCTGCAGCATTGCGGTCCCCCAGGATGGAGGGCATTCACGCTGCATACAGACAGGGAGACCTCAGCAAGGCCCGAGACCTGCTCAGGGAGGCCTGTGAGGACAGCGCATCCCAGCTGGAAAAGGTAGAGTGGATGTCGGCCTGGGGGCCACCACCGGTCCTGGGTTGGATGAAGTTTACTGTCAGATTATCAGCAGAATCTTAGTGGGGGTTTTGCTGTATTCTGAAAATAACCCCTTCTGCACGTAAAGGCGTGAGGGCCATGCCTTTCGGGTCTACTTTTTCACGTTATCATGGAAGCAGGGCCCTCGACACTTCAACATCAGGCCTTGGAGGGATCAGAGAGGGGCCTCTGGAATGTAAAGCACCCAGTGCCATCTGAAGATTCAACCTCCCAATGCTTTTGCAGTGTTTCCCATTATAAAAACAGCTCATGCTCAAAAAAAGGAAATTTAGAAAATATGTAAATGTAAGGGGGAAAGTAGCCGTATTCTTAATAACACCTACGCAATCCCACTTAACAGTTTTCATTTCTTTTTTTCCAATCCGCATCTAGTGTACAATGATGTTGTTTCTGTGTGATGCAGTCACAGCATATGTGTAGTTTTTCATATACTTCTCACCTAATATTTTAAGAATTTTCTGTATGACTCTGAGTTCCTTATAAGGATCACCTCAATAGCTACATGATGTCCCATCTCATAGAGAGACCATAATTTAAGTTTAATTTTTTCCTCTTAGTTGGATATTCAGGTTGTTTCTAATTTCTTACTAATATAAATAATGCTGTATTGAACGTTTCTGCCTAATTCTTTGCTTTATTGCAAGGCTGTTTTCTTAGCATAGGTTTGCAGGAACAGAGAACGTGGACATGAGCATTTTTAAAGATTTGGAACACATGAAAAACTGTTTTCCAAAATATGTGTACAAATAGCCCTCCCTCCCATGATTCAAGAGGATCAATGCTGTATTCTTGCCCTTGTGAGGAATGAGAGTTGTATGTTATCATGGAAACACTTTATTGAGGTTTTATTTGTAATACTTTGATTAGCATAAGCTTAATATATCTCTTTTAATAAAAGTTAGAAATCATTCCATTCTTAGACTTCTAGTCTTTTCTCAGAAATTTAGAAATCAGAGCATAAATCATTAAAAATAATTTTTGGGAGGACATTTGGGGTCCTCTGATTATGAATTCATCACATATCTGGCCAAAGAATACCTTCTTGTGAGATAGTCTATTACGTCTACAGGAGGAGACAGCTACATACACTTCAGTGTGTGCAGGCTTTAGGACACCTCAAAAGAACAAAATCATTGCTAGCTGCTATTTTGGAAAAAATACTAATGTAATTTTAAATAAATAAGTGAAGGACTTGGGCTTCCAGTAGAAGGAAGGAAGATGGACTAGGTACATTTTCCTTTTTATTCTTGCTAAGTGCACTTAAAAGCCCTGGATATTACATATACAGCAAGCATAAGATTCTGGAACCTAGGTAGGCATGATGGTACATTCCAGGATCACAGGTTCGAGCCCACCCTGGGGAATTTAGCAATTTAGGGAAACCTTGTCTCAAAAAAAAATGTGGGGGAACATCCCTGTTAGTGCAAAGGCCCAGGGTTCCATCCCTGGTTTTTTTTTAAAGAGGTTCTAGAAGATGAAAAGAAGAGAGACCATCTGGTAATCTCAGAACTCAAGAAAAACATAGTAATAAATATACTTGGGACAAGGGTTACCTCATATATCCCAGACTAGATGCTGAAGAAGCAGGTAACCCAGAAATACCAACTGACAAAGGAATAAAGGCCCTAAGTAAGGCCTGCTGTCTTGAGACAAAGGATCTGGCAGGGGAAAGCCTGGCAAGATTGAAAATGTACAGGCAATAACCACCCTACTTCAGCATACCATACAGAAATATTTGCAGCCCCAGTCCAAACACTCACCAGCACAGGCCAAGTAGAGATCCTAGACTTCTACCTTTGCCCTAGTCTTTCTTCTTCCATCATGGCTGGGAAGGTCAGGGGCCTGGGACATAAATCCCCAGCAGGGGGTAATGAATCCCCATCCCCATCTCCAGGGGACCCCAGTGGACCCCAGTGGACCCGTACCCTCACCCGGAACACTGGCAGCAGTGAGACACTCCTCCTATGGTTAGGGAAGAATTGTAGCAAGCCTGATGATGAACCTGAAATCCCACCCCTGTCCAGCGACACCCAGAAGTCCTTCCACCACAATGTCAGCTAATCCTGAGTGGAGTCCCTGATGTCCACTCCACCAGGCAGCAATCAGGTGGCAACATACTTTCACCTGCCAGAGCAGAGTTAGTAGTCTGAACACAATACTTAACTAAGACTCTTAAAATATATTGCCTCAAATTTCCAGATTCTAATAAAAAAATTCATACCAGGAGCCAGAAAAATACATTCCAAATATATAATAGTCAAACTTATAAAAACAAAAAAAATCAAACAAAAATCAAAACAAACAGAAATCTTAAAAGCAACCAGAGAGAGATAATTGCCTTTAGGAGGAAAATAATGAAATTGTCAAACAGTAAATGTCTCATAAGAAACCATGAAGACCAAAAGGAGATGGTGCAATAGTTTTTAAAGTGGTAAAAGAAAAAAAAATTGTCAACCCAGAATTCCATAGCCAGAGAAAATATATTTCAGGAATGAAGAGAAAATAGACATTCTGGAATGATGGAAAACTAAGAGAATAGATTTTTCAAAAGCCCTTTTCTAAAGGAATATCTTTTTTTTTAAAGTTTTCTAAACAGAGAGAAAATGAGACAAAAGGAGTTTTGAAATACTCAGAAAATGAACATGGTAAGAATAAAAATGAGTAAATAAAATTTTCTTCTAATGTTTAATTCTCTATGTTTGACGATTGAAACAAAAACTATAATATTGCCTAATGTGGCTCTTAATATAGAGAGAAGAAAAATGACAAGACAGTTATTTTATAAATGAAGGGGAGTAAAATAATACTAAGAGATAAAATGCTTAAAACAGATTTTTCTCAAACTGATAAAATGCTGAAAACAGTAGATTTGTAAAAGTTATGTATCTCTAATATAATACCTACAACAGCCACTTAAAAACAATGTAAAGAGATATACTCAGAAATACTACAGATCAATCATAATGGAATTCAAAGCATTTATAAATACCTCACAAGAAGATAGGAAAAAGAAATTAAAAATTTCAAGAAAGCAAACAGAACAAAATAACATGGCAAACATAGCCTTAGTATTGAAATAATTACATTAAACATAAATTGTCCAAATACACGAATTTAAAGACAGAATTTGACAGAGTGCATAAAAAAGTATAAGCAACTACATAGTCTGTGAGAAACTCACTTTAAATACAGTGGTGTATGTAGGTTGAAAGTAAATACATGGAAAAAGACATACTCTACAAAAACTAATCAAAAGAAATCTGGAGTGGCTATATTAATATCATATAGAGTAAATTTTAGAGCAAAAATTTACAAGGGTAGGGAAAGTTGTCATATAACTGTAAAGAACTTGATCCACCAAGAAAACATAGCCATCTTAAATGTGTGTGCACCAAACAACAGAGCTGACAGATTTGTGAAACAAAAGCCAAATTAACTGAAAGGAGAGCTAGATACAACTACAACCTTGGTTAGAGACTTTGACACTCTCTCTGCAGTTGGTAGAACAGTTAAACAGAAAATCACTGAAAGTACAAAAGAACTCCAAAGCACTGTTAACCAACAGGATCCAAATGACATTTATAAAACACTCCACCCAGTAGCATCAGGACATACAATCCTATCAAATGTCCACAGAACACATATCACATACATTATATCCTAGGCCTTGAAACAAATTTAAAGTAATTAAAATCATACAGAATATTCCTTAACCTCAGTGGGCTCAAAAATGGAAATCAGTAACAAAAAAATAATAGGAAAATCTCCAGGCACTTGGAAACAAATCATATACTTTTACATAATCCATGGGTCAAAGAGAAAGTTTCAGGAGAAACTACATTAAACTGAATGAAATAGATTAAACTGAATGAAAACTAAAATACAACATATCCAAACACATGGGATGCAAGTAGAGCTGTGACAAGAGGGAAATTCGTAGAACTAATTGCTTGCATTAGAAAAGACAAAAAAGTCTCAAATCAGTAAACTCCAATCAAGAAAACAGAAGAAGAAAATCAAGAAATTAGAAGAGCAAACTAAACCTAAAGTAAACAGAAGAAAAGCAATACTAAAAATAAGAGCAGAACACTAACGAAATTCTAAAACTGAAGAAAAGCAGTGAAATAAAGCCTGCTTCTTTGAAAGGATTGATAAAATTGGCCAGATCACTACCAAGATGAACAGAGTCAAAAGAAAAAGAAAACTTACTAATATAAGGAAGGAAATGGAGCATTGCTGCCAATCTTGCAGGCATCGAAAGGATAACATGAGAACACTATGAACAGCTCTCTGCACACAAATTTGATAACTGAGATGAAATGAGCCAGTCCTTGAACAGTAGAAACCATTACAACTCATTCCATATGAAACACACGATTGAAGTATGAAGCAAACTCCATTCATAACTTTAAATCTGTTAAAAAGAAATCCACAGGCCTATATGATGTCACTAGACAATTCTACCAAATGTTTAAAGAAGAATTAACATCATTCTTAACAGTGCTCACTTCGGCAGCGCATGTACTAAAGTTGAGAATTAACATCATTCTTACATAGTCTATTTCAGAAAATATGGGGGAATCCTTTTCAACACTTTTATGCAGCCATTATTAACCTAAAACCCAAACTAGGCAACTTTGAGTTCAGACCAATTCCACATGAGTATAGGTCCAAAAATTCAGTAATAGCTGAAAAGAATCATGTACCATGAATAAACCATGTGAGGTTTATTCTAGGGATTCAAAGCTGATTCAGTATCCAGCAGTCATATGGTGTAATTCTCCACATTGATATGTTAAGAGAAATTGGAGCCCAGTGTGGTGGCACACACCTGTAATCCCAGTACTCAGGTGGCAGAGGTAGGAGGATCGCTACAAGTTTAAGGCCAGTCTGAACTATATAGCTAGATCCTGGCTCAAAAAACCAAAAAAAAAAAAAAA